AGCGCTCGCTCGTCGCAGACCTCCGGTACAGTACCATCCTGCTTTACAAGGCCCGCTTGGAGCCGTGAGCCCTGTATCGTTGCAGTACATCCCAGCAGGACAGCTCGTGCACTGCGACACATTTGCAAGCCCCTCCTGCCCTCCGTACGTGCCCCGCGGACACCGTCCGGCCTCAAGGTTCTCCATGCCTTCCGGACAGTAGTGCCCCAAGGGACATACGAGGCTGCCAATGTCTCCTACTCCCCTGCAGTCTGCTGACGACGAGAAAGCTGACACCTGGACTCCCTGTCCTTGGTTGCTCGTGTTGAGTACGACAGCTACCTCCAGCCCGCTGCTCCCCTCGGCTATGATCCCTCCCAGTCCGCCCATGCGCTCCCCTGCTACGACCCTCGTCCAGCCCCGCTCGCCGTAAGCGTTCAGCTTCATAACGAAAGCGCTGTAGCTCCCTGCCTGTATGCTCCCTTGCTCTGCTGGCATGTCCGTGTACCCCAGGAGGTATATGCCCCCGTACGCGTCTGTGCTCACCGACTCCCCTTCCTCGTTCCACTCCGAGCCCACCACGGCCCTCCATCGCTCCTTGCCTTCTGCAGAAACCACGGCAAGAAAAGCGTCCCTCTGCTCAAGCGCTCCTGTCCACTCCGCTCCTACAAGCCTGACCCGCGATGCTGATATGAAGTCACTGCCTGTACCGCTGCTCCCTTCTCCGGTCCCGACCGATCCTGTATACCCTACCACTATTGTCCTCCCCAGCCTGTCTGTTGTCACTCCTCTGGCGACCTGCTCTCCTGCCCACTGCAGTACCTCCGTCCAATCAATGGACCCCGTCTTGTTGACATGGTAGACATAGACATCCCGCTCCTGTGCAGCTCCCGCAGACCCGTTGTACACTTCGCCTACTACGACTGCTCCTCCAGCACCGTCGCTTGCTACTGCTCTGATGCTTTCATCCCCTCTCACGCTTACGTTCCTGCCCCAGGCTAAGCTTCCGTTCCCGCTGTACTTATACAGCCATGAGCCTGCACCCGGCCCCCGCCAAGATACAAACACGTGATCCTGCCCCCCAGCAAGCCCCAGCCGGCTCCCAGCCATCATCTCTCCCAGGTCCCTTGACCACATGCTACCTCCTGTCGAGGCCGCGAGACTCGATACCCTGGACCCTGTCTCCCACCGCATGCCTACGTACACACTCCCCGCCTCGTCTACTCCGATCCCCTCCGCCATGGTGCTTCCTTCGCCTCCTGCTACTTCCCTTCTCCACACTTCGGTCCCGTCCACCCTGTGCTTGGTTACGTAGACCTCGTATCCCCCCTGACCTCCCTGGCCCCCGCTATTGTTCCACACGCTCACGCTGACATACAGGCTGTCGTCCCGTCCATGCGCTACCCCGCCTATCAGACTGGCCGCCCCTCCGACCAGCTCCTGCGTCCAGCTCGGCATCCCGACGTCAGGATCGGCGCACGCCTCGAGCCCCTCTACTGCATACGCTCGCCCTCTCGCATAGTCCACGACTGCGCCTGGGCTACAGATGTACCCGGGCGGACATGGCTTGCAGCTCGTCTGCATCGCTTCCTGGTTGTACGTCCCGGGCTCGCATGGAGCGGGTAGAGAGTCTCCGCCTGCACAGTAGTCCCTGAGACAAGCGAGGGTGCCTCGGACCCTGCTATGCAGTAGTGCCCGCTGGACACGTATTACTCTCCGCGCCCTGAGGCGACTCCGCGTCGACTAGCGTCGACGAGTCATTCGCCCCTGC